CATCGTGAGAAAAATGAGCCTCAAGTTGACTAAATGTTAAGTCCTCCACTTTGGCGGCTCAGAGCCTTCAAGCCAAGATTCAATGCACGTAAAATAAATTGATGACCTAAAATAGCTTTCTGACTGTAGTGGGGAGTGACATGTACCATTATAACCTTTAAATAAAGAATATTTATATATCCTTAGCATTCAACCTTCCACCTTTGTGTTAATTTCACTAAATGAAGTGAAAGTTTGGTGTATGATGTATTTACTTGAATAGTTTCAGAAATTTTTAGGCTTTGCCACATGTAGATTGGTCTTAATACAACATAAGGCGAACCTACTTACAGAAATTCAGCCTCCGAAAATATAGCGATACGGAGAAAGAGTGATTAAAAATTAATTTTCATATGTGAACGCTCCCCTTTTATCCCCAGGGGAAACGTTCCCGTTGAAATATTAAGAAATCATTTCTTGTTGCACATTTGCAACATATAACGAACCTACATACAAAATTTCAGCCTCCAAAAATATAGCGGTACGGACGAACAGTGATGAAAAGGTAATTTTTGTATGTAAACGCGCCCCTTTCATCTCCAAGGGCGTCGCTCTCGTTAGAATATGCAAAAATCCTCTTATTTCACATCTGCCACATGAAACGAACCTACATACTGAATTTCAGGCTCCGAAAATATAGGTATACGGAGAAACAGTAATGATAATAATTTTCATATGAAAACGCGCCCCTTTCATCCCCAGTGGGTGGGCCCAGTTGAAATATCTGAAAATCCTTTCTTGTTGTTCATCTACAACATAAGGCGAACCTACTTACAGAAATTCAGCCTCCGAAAATATAGCGATACGGAGAAACAGTGATTAAAAATTAATTTTCATATGTGAACGCCCCCCTTTTCTCCAGGGTGGACGTTCCCGTTGGAATATTCAAAAATCCTCTATTGTTGCACACTTACAACATATCACGAACCTACATACAAAATTTCAGCCTCCGAAAATATAGCGATACGGAGGAACAGTAATGAAAAGGTAATTTTCGTATGTAATCGCGCCCCTTTCATTTCCAGGGGCATCGCTCTCGTTAGAATATGCAACAATCCTCTTATTTCACATCCGTTACATAAAACGAACCTACGTACTGAATTTTAGTCTCCGAAAATAAAGCTATACCACTGGTGGTACACGTACCACCGGTTGGGAACCCCTGATCTATACCTTTAAATTTCCGGTGGGTGAATTTATATTCAGTATCAGCGAGTTTCTAGTACAATATATTCAGTAGAATTGGCCAATATTTGATGCGAATCTAGTTTACAAAACCTCAACACGTGTTTCTCTATACAGGGTGACAACGAAATCATTATACACCGCGCCATTCATTGTTTAGTTGGTAAGAAATTCAAAATATTCATTAAAGGTATAGTTTATCAAAATTGATATTTTAAATGATAAAACACTCGGAAATCAAGACAGGGCTAACTGAAAATGAACTCAAGTCAAAAATTTCAAATGAAATCCTATAAATTTTATCAACCACTCAATCGGATACATTTTTTAAATAACATAATGAAAGGTATGGCCATTTTTATTCAAAATGGCGGCGTGGGAGCCATTTTCTTCAAATTCATAATGGCGTCACTATGGCGACATCTATGGAAATATTGTCGAAAAATTCGACGTAGGGAGAAATAAACGATGAAATTTGGTCGGTTTTAGTTAGAAAATTGAATTTATTTTTCAAAACACTTATTTTATCTTGATTTTTTTCAAATTGTATTTAATCATAATCATATCTTATCATCCAAATAATCGCCTACGATTTTTATCTGTGGTATTCTTATTCTACACAGAACAATGACTTGAAATTTATGTAAGTGGACAAAAATTAGATTTCACTGATTTGAATAATCTATTTTCTCCAAATCTTGATAAAAAATCTACGTCACAAAATTATTCAATTGACGCACAAAATTTGAATTCTGATCGCCTTTTTCCTATGACGTGAGTACTTTTCCCAATTTTCCAGTTGGTCGATCAATATCAGTGATAAATTATTGATATATCACTGATAAATTAATCTTATTAATCTTTTCTTTGTGAAAGAGATAATGATCTCCACTTGCTTGCTGAAAATTCTCTTGTACATTGTAAGAATCCATGTAGGTCGATAGTGATTTTTGAGTAAATCCAAGTACATATTCCTTATTGAATTTCCTCAATGATGTTTCCTTAATGATGCTGAGGTTAGAGAATTTTTATTATTTCTGTAACTTAAAAGACAAACTCACCCGATAATTTTCAGTTCGACGAACGCTCTCATTACTATATTTATTTGAATAATGTTCATTAGGCCATTGTTGAAAATGAGAGTCAGAAATTTCGTAAGACACCAATTTTGTATTTCAGGCAATATGGTAATAATCTATATTGTAATCAGAAATAATGTGAATACTGGGAACCTATACATAGAAAGTCAATTGATAGATGAATTTC